TTAAGGTTTCAAAGAAAGAAGCACAAGAAAAGGTACCAGAGCTAGAAAGGGTCCAAAATCTGATGTCTTCCTTAGCAGGGTTTAGGAAGACACCCTCAAGGGAGGCTAGCAGAGCTACCAAGCTATCCAAGTCTGTATCCCTAATTGCCCTACGCAGGCCAAGGTTCCAACCAAAGCCCGAAGTGGAGGCTGAAGGGACCAAGAAAGAAGAAATGTGTTCATTTTTCAAGTCTGAAAGAGCATACAAGGAAGGAAATTGGTCTTTCAGAGGAGAATCCCTGACCCAAAGTTGTTCCCAGAAATTTATTCGGTTACCAGAGTTTAGACCATACCTGATCCAAGGGGAGAAAACTGGAAGCAGATTGTGGATGGATTTCCAATGCGAAGATTCCAGGATCCCAGCCATTGTCTTCCAGCCCATGAATGGTAGCCACAATCTTAGTCCACAATTTATCCCTTTCCAAAGAGAACCTCCACAACCACTTCCCCAGTAGAGCCATGTTCCTTTTCTTGAAATTACCAATCCCCAGACCTCTTAGTTTTTTACACCTAGAGACCACCTCCCAACTCACCCTATGATCTCTCTTCTCCTCTCCAGGCTCCCAGAGAAAGTTCCTTATTAATTTTTCCAAAAGATTTGAAACCTTTGAGGGGATCTTAATGCAAAAATCAATTCCCAAGTTGCGGGAAGCTCCACAAGAGCACAACTCATGGCAGTCCTAATTTGGCTTGAGAAAGACAAAATCATTGAACTGCACAAATGTTATCATTAGAGGGGATTTCACGGTAGTCACAAACTGGCTGAAGAATAATCAGGAGGGGACTTAGTTTTATAGGCATATTGTCAGGGAGATAAGAAGCATATTGAGGCAGATGATTGCTAGCATCAATTGGGTACCGTGGGCTGCAAATTGTATGCTGATGGACTGACAAAACAAGGGGCAACAAGCGAAAATCTGTTCTGCGGTTTGGTTAATTGAGAGTTTCTTGTATCTTTAAAGCTTGAAGTGGCTAGCTGAGGTTATCCATCTATCTAATATTCTAATGTTTGTGCTCAATTTCAGTATACAAAATTTCTTTTTGTTGCTGATCAAAAAAATTAAAAAAAATGGCATTGTCTTATTGGTGTTTGATTCTGCTTGGATCCTGACATGGATTATAAAACAATGTTAAATCTCACTTGACATGGTTCCAGACAACTTCCCAATTCATGTCCTGAAAATCTGTGTTGATACCTCTTTTTTTGCCTTCCTCAAAAAAGTAAATTTTTCTTTCCCTCTTCAAAGAAATAAAACTTTGGTTTTCTTGGCTCATGTTTATCATTTTTTCCCTTATGATATCAGGGATGAGTATTATGCGTGGGGATTGCACCAGATAGCTAAAGCTGTTAGCTTTCTGAATAATGATTGTAAACTGGTAAGAACTCGCATCTGATTGTGAATTTGTGATAATTCTATGTTATAAATATTTATGTTCTTAAATATTACTGAACCTGCAGATTTTGTATTTGTTGCTGTTTGCTAATTGAAATTAAAGATAGAATTCAGTGACTTATTGTTAATTTGTTTCTATGCAAAACATGCACAAAAAGATCATGTGTATTTTTTTTTCTGAAAAAAGTAAATTATTGTACTCAAGCAAAAGGAAATAGATACATCAGCATACTTGTACACCAAGGGCGTGTACAATGGGAATAAACAAACCATTCAACCCTTTACCCCATCATAGGCTTGTCCCAACTATATGGGGTTTGCTACATCAATCCTGTTTTGCCATTTTGTTCTGTTCAGTGCCATATCCCTTGTCAAATTATGGGCACTTAAATCATTTCTTACTACTTCCACCCAAGTCCTTCTTGGTCTGCCCCTAGTTCTTCCAACCCCCAGTGTTTTAAAAGCGCAAGACAAAAAAAGTGCAAGGGGCAATTTGCACCTCAGGTGCAAGGTGAGGCATGCACCTTTTTGAAGCAAGATGCAATAGTGCAAAAAATGCCAAAAAAATTCAAAGCACCCCCTGTAAGACAGCGGATTTTATACAAGTACATGGGCCCAGCTGACCCGGCATAGACCTGAGCTAGACCGGACTGGTTCAAGTCAATTACCCACTCAAGTAAAGCTATTTGTGCTAGTTTAAATAGAATTTTCTAGAATAAGGGCATGTCATTAATTAGGCATAAGGGTAAAATTGGCAAATGTGAATAGGAAGATTCTATAAAATGGAGCTTCAAATCACTATAAATAGGTATAAATAGGGTCCCATACCCATATGGGGACCCATTAATAACCTATTCGTAAATCCCATTATGGAGGAGAGAGGACCTAGACTCTCTCTCTCTCTCTCTCTTCCCCCTCCCTTCTTCCTCTCTCGCTCTCTTCCACCAACCTTTGTAAATCACTGCCATCTTCCTCCGGATCTTTAGAGTTGGACTTCTTTAGGCCTCACCACCGGGCTTACACCTCCTTTTAGTCATCTAGTAAAATTTAACATTTAGGTGGCAGGCTTTTGTTGTTTGCATTCTTTTTCATAGCAATATAAAATATATGAATCAACAACGCTTGGAATCTAAAATTCAACCTTTTAATCTGCCTTTCACACAAATAAGCTTTAAAATGTGCTGCATGAAGTTATTTTTTTTTAATTTATTGACATCAGAAATTTATTACACTTAAAAAGAGAGGTATTTACAATTTTATATAGTTGTCCAAAACAATCAATTTTTAGTTGTCTTTTGTAGCTTGGTTGGGTGTTATTTTAACACCTCTGTGATGCTTGTAATCAGTTTTTCTTTTTTTTTTTTTCAATAAAATTTTCTTTTTTACTTAAAAAAAAGATGTTAAACGTACCCTAGGATGTCTATTCTAAGCCACACATCCTCCTATCAACTGTATTGAACACTTTATATTATCAATTACATTGCTTTTTCCCAGATGGGCTCAGAAATCAGAATAGATCCTTTCTATCCACACCCTGTTTTGCCAAAGCATCAGCCAATTCATAACTGATCTGTAAATCCACTTTTAACTAATTACTTTGCCCCCTTTCCATAGTTGTACTTCTAAGCTTTCTCATGGTGTTCTTCTATTGCCAAGGAACCTGTCTTCTTTTTTTTTTTTGGTTTTTGTAAGGCAACTAATTGCTATTTTGAAGTTCTCTTCCATCATTAGATTCCTAGGGGATGCTTTAAAATGATGGAAATATTGAATTAGAAAAAAAGATTATCTTTTTATTTTTAAGGTTTTTTCTTTTCTTTATGGAATTTAAAAAGATTATCTTCATATTTTTCATTTTTTTTCTTTACTTAAAGTCTCAAGAGCTTGTTTACCTTTCAAATCTAAACTGAAAATCATTTACTAATAAATATGCTTGCAGAAAGAGGTTGAGTCCCTTCAATTTGATCTTTGCTCTTAGTAATGTCAAACCTTAGGGATCTAGATAAGACTGGACGGTTTTGAACATTGACCACTGTGGTGGTTTTCTGTTAAATCCTTTCCCTTCCCCCCATTGGAGAGGATAAGGGCCCTTTTGTCAGATTAATTCAGAGCACACCTCCAAACATGCACAAATGCATAACTCCAGTCTAAGGTTACATTCCTTGTGTGGCAGTTTATCTGGATATAATTCTTGGTATACAATTTGGATTTTCACAATGTGTGCTTGTTAGGCAGGCAAGGGGAAGATTAGGGCTGTTTACGGGTCGGGTTGGGTCAGTTAACTGATGTTTTTCCAACTGACTCGACCTGGTCGGGTTACCTGAAATTGAAACCGAAACCGACCCTATGTTAAGCAAAACCGACCTGATCGGTTTGAGTCGGTTTGGGTCGGTTTCGGCTCTACTTAGTGGTGACTCAGTTGCTGTTCATTTCTGGCTCTACATTCCCAAAGGAAACCGGCATTTCCTTAATGTTTTGTGGCCCATCCATGGATCCAGATTTTGTGGAGGGAGCAGAGTTTGAGAGTACTATTTGCTGGAGTAAGATTTCAATCTGCAGGAAACTATATAATGGATGGATCAAACTATCAAAGACGGCCGGATCCAACAAAAGCTAAGAAGATGCTCTCTGCTACTGTAGATAAGTAGTGGTGAAATACTGAAATTTAAGGCAAGCATTTATTCATGTACTCTTTTTTTATTCAAATTCAACAACATCTCTAGCTGCTAAAGCAAGGATATCTGAACAAGAAACAGTTCCAGGACAGAAGAGTTCAAGCAAGTCTTTGGCAGAATCGACTATTGAGAATCCTCCAAGCGATGCATTGGCTGGATCACTCCTTTTTGTCTGATATCCTTCTAGTAGCACGGAAGCATCACAACCCTATAAAGTTAAAAGCATACCTCTTGATGGAGTGATGGGTCTTGGGTCATCTTTAATGTTTACAACATATCTCCTGATGAACTTGGTAGTGAAGGGATCCATATAAAACTCGGTAGTGAAGGGATCCATATAAAACTCGGTAGTGAAGGGCTTCATACCTACTGATGAACTCGGTACAATGGAACTCAATCAAAATCCATTGTACGAGTAGTGTAGTGTAGTGCCTTGTTTCAATTCCAATTTCCACAGAATTTTGTGGAGGGTAACTGGTAAGTAGCCAAATTTGAGCATCAGATTCTAGACTCTAGAACATTGCACTACTCACTTTGCCAACTGGTGTCCACTTACACTATAGAGATGAGAGATATATGGGATAGGCTATAGATGATCATTAATCATCCACAATCAACGGTTAAGTTTGTCAAAAAACAAGAACTACCGAATCCTCAATCAATGGAATTGTAATCCAGCTTTCATTTCTATCCAAACCCATTACCCAAGAGTCCAAAACAAATCTGAGTTCAATTCAGGTAAAGGAATAAATTCTTCATGTAAAAACAAGTGTAAGTAAGGTTTAAAAGCAATCATAAATTGAACATCATTTCAGCCATCTCCTATGATAAAATTTAAATGGAAAATTAATCACAAAAGTTGTTCATTAATCACTAATCCAAAGTTGCTTGCAACCATTCAAAAACTAGGTGGCCTAATGGACTTTGGAACTTCATGTTTGAAGAAGAAATGCTGCCATGCTAATGACTCAACTGTCAAGAAACAAACAAGAAAAGTTTGTTTTAGATTTGTCACATTACTTGGAAAATGAAATTTTAAATTGTAGAAAAAATAATTACACTTGTAAAGATTATTAAGTCTTACCAAAAAACCAATCATCATCACTTAATTACACTTGTTCCGTTGTTCCTGAGAATTCTAAAACAAAGAAACAAATATTAGTTTGTAACCCAAAAAATTACATAAGTTATAAATAATATCATGAAATAAAGTTTATTCACAAGATAACAAATATTACCTAATGCAATTTCTTCATATTTTTCCACTTCATCCATAGYTTCTCGAACATCAATTGGGATTGGTTTGGATCGTAACCAATCTTGGCCACATATAAGAGCCTCCACCATTTTTGGAGATAGTGAACTCCTAAATGGATCAAGTAAACGCCCACTTGTGCTGAATGCCGATTCAGAAGCAACTGTAGAAATTGACATGGCCAAGACATCTCTTGCTATTTGAGAAAGTATAGGATACTTTTGAAAATTCATTTTCCACCAAATCAAAATGTCAAATGAATCACTTGGCTTTTCACAACTCTCTAACAAATACCTTGCAACCTCAGATTTACTTTCTTCACTTTATAAGTGTTTTGCAAATTGAGATGCTAAGAATCTCCATGTATCATCTTCATTATCATCAAAATCCATCTCATTAAAAGCTTTACTTGAACTTGATGCTTCATGTCCAGCATTGAAATTTGAATTGTATTTATGATCATGATAATGGTAATATAAACGATTAAGAGTTTCCTCTACTCTCTCGGGTCATCTCTCTGGCCTTCAAACTATCATATATTTGACGAAAACAAAATTTCACATATTTTAATTTGTAACAAGGATCCAAAGCAATGGCAACATATAACAAGAAATTCAGATTTTCAAGGTTCTCCCAATATTTATCAAACTTCCGTTGCATGTGCTCTGCTATAGAACTCAAGAGACTATCTCCACTTCTAGACAAACGAATCAACCTAGTTTGCAATGCCACAAGTTCATGAAAAAATGCATTCGATGTGACATAAAGCGATCCCGAAAACCACAACGTTACATTATAGAAAAACTTTAGGAACTTCACAAAACATCTGGCGTTGTCCCAATCATCATAATTAGGAGGCCCAACATGCTTATTCCCTCTCCCTTTTCCTCTCCTATTCCCACCTCCACTCTCCTCATTTTCATCCTCATCACCGCCTTCAAAGTATAAGAGATATCTTGGGTCATTCTTACCTAGCCAGTCAAAAGCTCTTTCAAAATTTTCAGCAACTTCCAACATCAAATAGGTAGAATTCCACCTAGTCTCAACATCAAGGCA